TTTCTTGAAGTGACCAAACACCGAGTAGTTTACGCCAATTCGCGTTAACTGGGCCCGTTTGAAATCAACAGTGTGCGAAATGCACATCTCGTATAGATTGTAATGAGACAAACCGGGGAAAAAGACAAATCAGAAATGTTCTTTTTACACTGTGGGAGTGAAACTGAGTGCACCAGCCTGGCTACTGTGCATGAAGGTGAATCAATGGACGCGTGCGCACACGATTACAGACAGAGCATGGCACGGAGCCACAGACAGATGGCACACGGAATGGGATCAAGTGTCCTCGGGGACGTAAAGGGTACGAAGGCAGCACACAGAATATCTACAAATTATTTGTATGTAGATATATATAGATATCATCATATTATCAATTCCTCGTGTGTGTGGGACGTGGGCTTACAAACTAGGAGGCACTGGACAGCTGTTTTGACCTGGTTGGGTCTCACCAGCGGTGCGAATCCATCGATCCAACTGGGGATCAGCATCTCGAAATGTAGTACTCAGGTCGTGTTCTTCTCAATTTTCCAATTCTGATCGTTGTATGAAAGTATATTACGATCATTTTTATGCAATTTACTCAGATCATTCCCATCTCTTTTCTCTCACGTCCAGGCAACAAACTGTTTTCGCCATCGGGCAAGATAGCAAACACCCCGCGCTGATCGGTCCATGAGAGATCCGTGGGATAGATACATAGATCATCACGATGACTTCACTATTTTAGGGGAGAATCGAGCGCGTCGGATTCATCCAAGATGTGCACGATTAAGGTGGGGTTCTCGCTTTGTTCAGTCTGTGTCCGAAATCCATGAAAAGTAGCCGAATTTGGCATGGATTACGGGATCATGAGACAGATTGATGAATACCAATGGTTGTTATCCTTTATAATAAGTAGTATATGAATGACTGGACATAATTCCCGAGAGGATCTAGACACTTTCCTGCGATCTTACCACCTAGATACTTAGGTGTCAAATCGTATAAAGACAATGAAGCCATTAGTACTTTGTTGTTTTTGACTATGTATCACTCATTCCATCGTTTCGACTTAACGTATTTGTGTTCGAAGCTTACTATTGGCGCGTTTCCGCGTTTCTGTAGTGATTGTAGCAACGTTAGTAGTAGCACGCAATGAACACAAAACACGAATCACGGAACAGGATTCACGGAATATGAGTCACTGATTAGCAGTCACGGACGTTACACTGGCTCTTGCACACAATATCCCACGTAACCAAGGCGCAAGAAAAATGCCCCAGGAGTAGTAGTTCGTTTATTAAATATGTACAAAACAAGCTTATTGGTCATCCGGGACTCTGCCAATCGCGTTCTATTTTTTCTGTCGTGGTTCTGTTTCTGTCTGGACCGCACGGGTTCTCATTGGCTGGTTCGATCGACCTATGGTATGTGGTTTAGAAGCTGTGGCACGCACGCACTTTGCTGACGTCACCCGTGAAGCTTGATTGATCGTAATTGTCCTAAAATTGTAACGTGTCTCTCTAGGGTATGCGTCATCTCGCAGGCTGGGATCATCACTGTTTCGCTATCGGGAAGTCATTCCTTTGCATTAAAAGACATTTGCAAAGAGCTATATTCAATGAAAGGAAAAATATCACCATCAGGATGATAAACCTAAAACACTGTCACTTTCATTCATTTTGTGAGTTTGAATTAACTATGGAAATGTGTGTGATAACCGACAAAGAGCACTAGACAGCTGTTTCTTTTTATTTGGGACTCGTCAGCGGTGCGCACATTTTTGTATCCCTGTCAGGACTCGGACCGAAAACCTTAGGGTTGGGACCTGCAACACTGCAGGTGAACTGCAAAGTAACCAGCTTGTGTTCACACGGTTTCGCAAAACTACGATTACATCCCAGTGGTTCACTTTCCAGTTGGATCAAATGACCATGGTAGTCAGAACACCGGAGGAACTCCGTCGTAACCTATTTCATCAACAGTCCTAAATATAATCTCGAAGTGCTAATGGGAGTTGGTTAACCAGTCCAAAACAGACTAATTCGTTTTCAAATGATCCAGAGTGAGGACCAATAAAGTACACTAAACAGTTGATTGGTCCTTTCCTGGACTCAATACAAGTTCATACGGTTTTTGTAGTTCTGTCAGGCTTTGATCCGCGAAAGATTGGACTACGAGCCAAAACTTGCGAGCCACATGGTCGATGACTACCACAGTGAGAATGTTCTACTTCCATGAGAATTCAATGACCTCAAGACCTGTTTACTGTTGCTCTGTTGCGGAGTTCAATTACATCCACCCCAATCGCATCTCTGATATATAGACTGATTCATATTTCAGGGCGAATAAGCATAGCCATACGACAGGGATTTTGCTGGAGTCAATCATTGGTCATTTCTGGTTCAGTCTTGGCCCAGGTCGAAAGCTGTTTGCATCGTATGTAGGCTAATCCACATTGCATGCTCACTTCATCCTCTCGCGACACTGCTGCATATCCCCATGGGAACAGTCTTCCTTATATTATTTAAACTAAGTAGTACTATGACGCGGTGATAAGGTTTCTCCTCGAATTCGATGCTTCTTCTCTCAAAAATGTCAATGTAGGTTATCTGTGTATAGATTTAAGGTGACTGGACATTGGTGAACCAACAATCGCATATGTTGTGAAATTCATCATTTTGGATAATGCAATGAAACAGATGTGTCAAATCAGTAACATTATTGATTAGGCTTCATTTCTAATGAAGACCATTGGTGGAACTCATCATTGCCTGCTAAAACATGCAATTAACCAGCAATGAATATGAGAATATGTCAGTACATCACACCGTTGTTTTACCCAGGGCTAGAGGTCACCCCTTGAATACAAAGTTCATGCTACTGGGAACAGCCCTTATAACACAAACTGTAAGAAATTGCATACACCCAAATTGTCCTCCCAAAACGTGGTGATGATTTAGCGGCCAAGGTTACCATAAAGTTGATCTGGAAGCGTCGAGTTGCAACCCCAAAACATTCGCCGGACAATCCGTTCAATGTTCCTCAAGCACAGCATCATCGGCTATCACATGCCCCATTTATTAGAGTAAATACTGAAAAATATAAAGTTGAAATGAGTAAGCCCTGGTCGTCGTGGGGAAGTGAGAGATGCTTGGTTATCCACTTCAGAAGGACGATGATACATCCACGTCATCGATTGGCTGAACACATCCCGGCCTGGCTTCAGAAAAACAAAGAGTGAAAGATTTGAATGTGTATGAGGTCATTGGTAACACGTAGGAAAATCAGTTCCATCATCACAAAACATCTGGTCAAAATGCAGCGCCGTGTACTACTGAGGAATGTGTCCAGGATCCTCTACAACACCGTTTCTTAACTACTTTGAGGCACCAACTACTCAAATTTACCCTCTCCATCTGTGTTCACAGCTTTATCGATCTGGCAATACTTTAGGAACAGATATGTGTGTCGAGTTATGTTGACGCACAGTCCTACTTGACCTAACGTTCTGTACTTTCTGTCCAGATAATAATGATTACTTAAACTATGTATTCACGTGTACAGATGAAACAAAATAGTCCAAGAAACAACTTGTGTTCGCAATTCAATTTGGAGATAATTCAAACCATATACATTTTGTTGGAACCCTGTTCGATGACAAGTCCGTGAGCTTTTTCACGTGGTTTTCACCTAGTAATTGTACCTTTTGCTCTTTTCCCATTAATTTGCTTGCGCACATGCACAAAGTGACGCATTCACAAGAACGTTTTCATTCTGTTTACAGATAAACTATGCGTTTTGTGGGCTTCCATGGATCCGAATTCCTCGGTTTCGCGAACTGGGCGCGATCTGTAGAAATCCTTTTGACTTGTAATTAACTTGGGTAGCATCACGGACTAACATTCCAATTGCTGCCGCCATCCATGAGTGGTGGACTAAACCATATTCGTTTCGTAAACAGTCTATAATGAGCGGTTGAATCTATTCTAAAAGCCGCACGGTGTTCCTAATTCAAGCGCGACTGTTGGCCGCAAATTACGTGCAGGTAAACACATTCACTCACATACTCCCTCATCCACACACGCACACATACACCTTAGACTCCAATTATGAATAACTCATTCTATGGGAGAAGACTACCAGTGATGCCCTGTGCCTGTGAAAAACCCGAAAGACATTATAATTGATACGGCTCTAGGCTCAAGGTGTTCTTGACGGTCGACCGTGCGGCTCAAAAGCAAGAGTGCAGGCTCTCAACCGGATTTGTTTTTATTTCAAGTCCCAGTTGGGATACAAAAGTAGTACAATACACTGCTGAGTTCTGAAGAGCATGATACAACTATCCAGTGCGCGTGGTCTGCTAGCTTTGAAAGAATGCAGTCGCGTAAATGATAGAACAGCCTTTGTGGAGTTGTTGTTGATTCTTCTTCGGAAAAGACCGTGATACAAAGGTACACAATGCTTAATATTTGTAAACGATATCTGGGCATGGATGTATGCAAGGGTTTCACTGATTACTCAAGTTTTGAAATATGGAAATTAACATAAATTTTATCCCAATACAGCTGTAGGGACTGGGGGTGGGGTGGGAGAGAGAGAGAGAAGAGAATGACGTAAAACTCCAAAACTCCTGGGAATCGCTGTGGCAAGTCATAAAATGTGGAACACAGAAAGAAACACTTCCAACTACAAATCAAATATAAAAATCAGTTTCATTTGAATAATTTCGAGCACCATTATACCTATATGTCAGTTCAAGGGGCGACGGAGGGTGAAGTACGTAGTACAGATAAAATCGAGGACGTGATAAGGAGTGAGAAGACGAGGAGGACAGGTGAGAATTCGGAATGTGATGCGAATTTTTGCTCATGATAAGAAAATATTTTCAAAAAAGACAGTAAACAAACGAATAGACGCATGTTCACAAAACCTGTGTGCGCATTGAAATCAGTCAAGGGAATCCACACATTAGCACAATAGAGTTATAGGGAGGGGAAGGGACGAGCACAACTGTCAATCTATACCGATCCGTATTGGCGTCGGTTGCGTCGATTGAATATGATGAACACGACCAGGGCGATCACAATACAGACAGCCAGCGCAACCCCTACGGCGATGGGAACCGTGTTGTCTGGGGTTTGATCCTCAGTGCACAGAGTTTCTGACCATTCGAGATGGATAGCAAAATAGAATTGGAGGGGTAAGTAAATGATATTTGTTCTACTCTTAAAGTTGCATTTCTTCTACACGAACAGTTTCTCTCATGTTTGATTTCACTAAAGAGGGATGAGAAATGAATAACCAAATCAAGAATGGAAACGGCAAAGTAAAGTTGTTGATCGTGGTAACCATTGTCAGTCGTTTGGTTTGTCCTTCTCCTATCCGTCTACTCAAGTGATTTAAGAAGTTTGTTCATCAAAATGATAGATTTATCTTTACATTGAAACCCGGGGATGAATCCAAGAAAACGCTTATAATCATCTAGACCATGGCGGAAATTTTTAAATGTGAAGGATTTTACGACTCAGTTCTTCTGCTTTTGCCAAATATAGTTCGGATGACAGAAAACCTTGATGGCTGTCTTTCAACCGTAGCTGGTTTGATTGCACCACATAAGTATATATATATATATCTGTTATCTCTGGGACCACATTTTTATTGTCCAAATAGAAGGTCAAACCAATTGAATATGGAGGTGGAAAAATTTATTTATGCGCAACATTCTGACCTGGTTCCCTCTTCATCAGTGGATTTGGAAGGGCTCAAATCTACTCTGGGGAATGCTTGCCATCAGTATCAGAATGCCAAGCTAAATGCAAATGAAGAAGTAACTAAAGAACACATCAGACGATTCCGAGAACCTCAGAAAAATAAAGATATTATACCATCCAGACCGGATAAGGGGGCGGGGATTGCGCTACTAAATCGAATGGACTACACAGACATGATGAATACCATATTGGGTGATCGGTCGAAATTCACCAAGTCGACGGATTACGGTCAATACGTGACATTGTCCACCACAGTTTGTATAAAACCTGATGTTCAAGTATTCGGTTCCAGCGAATGTATGTTTTCCACTGGGGAATGTGGAACTAAATTCATCTTGTTTATGCCATTTGGCACCTTTGTATTAGGTGCATCGTTTTCAATCACTTTTCAATGCTGAGATTATGAAACTTTGAGTTTTATGACATATTTTTCGTCTTGGTACCGAAAATAAACCCGGTTCGCAGTCATACTATGCAATATTTCGAAATGCACCCCTGGGTGAGAGTTGAGAGTCCCTGAAAGCAGTTTGACGATGACTTTCTTCAATTGTCCCAAATAAGTATCAACACAGACAGAGAGACGGAAGAAGAATTTTGTCCTAATGAAGAACCTATTGTGTTCATATGAAATCATAATGATTGTCATAGGTAGTAATATTGTTCAGAGAAAGAAGTTTACCAAGTTTACCTGACTTTATCTTCGTTTCTTTTTTTTTGGGGGGGGGAAGAGATATCTCGAATATGTAACTCCAGTATAGCCTACTCACCTGAGGATATATGACCAAACCTGATTTGGTGGCGGGGTATATAATTGACACTAACAGAATGCACATTGTGTCTCTCCTTGGAAGTTTTTCATACAACAATTGATAAACTGTCTTAGAGCGAAATTTCAAGTCTCAGTCTGTTCTGACTGGCATAAAAATACGTAACGTAAACACACAGAGAGCTTCTTTTTGAATGGCCTAAGATTCAGTAACAGAATAGGACAACCAATATGCACTATTTATGAGCTGTAATGAGTGCGAAACCAAGGTGACTGGTGTTTTCTGAGTGTATGATTGACTGGATGAGAGGTGATCATTCGAAATACCGGTTATAAACTCACACACACGCACAGACGTAAAGATAACGCGTAAATCTGTTCACAAATGGGACATCAGTTTCCTTAATCTTACCCTTGTCAGAAAATTTGGGTTCTTTTGTCAATGTGAATGCCTGCAGTTTGACATTCGTGAGCCGCATATTGACACTGTTTACTGGTTGACTGGAAGAGGTAAGTTTGGTGGTTTTCGGTGCCATACAATGATAGTACGAGGCGATCGGTGCTTTGCCCCATGTTTCCGTGGAATTTAGTGTAATATCGACTGGAAAGACAAAATCAAAAGGGTTTCGTTTCAATTGTTCAGTATAGAGAAAAGTATCAATATTCAATACTGTTGTGAGTTCACGTAAAACTCGGCCAGAGCGAAAACAATGGAAAAACCGAAAACATTCCATCAGGACAAACAACCAAATTTCAATTCGAATCGTTCGGGTTGTATTATGCATATATGTCAGATAGGACGATCCTGAACTATTGTTTGTCAAAGCAGTGCGAGTTGACATGAAGAGCTTTCTACCGACTTTCGATAGACTAATTTACATTACCTATATAAAGATATATGATTTTTAAAGTAGGATGTACAAATATTAAAGTGGTTCAGGTCCTCTGAGCAACGAATTAAGTGCCCCGGATTCGAATCCCATCACCTTCCGTAGTTCGGCATTTTATACGAGCGACCTTGATTTTGCAGCGGTCCCATTTTTAAAATTTCATTTTATGTTTGTATATTCCTCAAAACAATGAAGTAGAAATATTATTATTGTGTTAATACTATTACCTTGATTTTGATATTTTTAGTGACTGAAATACGTGCTGTGATATATCATGTTGTGTACAAAACACTTTCAACAATAATAATTATGAAACCGGCTATGATTTTCCACTGTCATATTTCAGAAAGTTTATGTCAACAAATTTATCATTCCCCCAAAATAATGATTTCACTGGATGTGATTTCTTTTGATTTGTAATACATTCAACTGTTTGGCATTTCGGAAATTACTGTTCATCTATCCTTACCCCCTTCTTTTACGTCCGGAAGAGTTTTGGCGTCTGTCTTGAATTTGATCTGGATCAATTCCGCTTGGAACATCCCGTTATCGTTTGGCGTTTGACCCAGTCGACCAAAACGAAAGTTGAAAATCCAAGCCTTATCAGGTAGTTCCGACGCGGTAGAAAGTACCAATTCGGTATCGTTCTCGCCACATTGACTTTCGGGAGCCACTTCCATCGTCAAGTTTTTCAGATTTATTGACCCATCTGTTCCATCAGTCTGGTTTGAGGAAACCCGGGGGCAAAGGAGAGTTGGGGCGTAGTGTAGGGGTGAGTGAATGGAAGATATGAATTTGAGAGAACTAAATAAACACTAAGTGTGTTTTGTTTGGGGATTACGATTCTACCATGGCGGTCATGAGGTGAAATAAACGAAGTTTGATACCGGTGCCAACATTGTGAAATAGATTTTGCTATATTATGGATGGATAAAATGAGAATTGGCCTAATTATCAATCCCCCGAGAGTGGACAACTACGTAGCATGCTTGTGTTCTTTTGAGATCCCGGGTTCGAGTCTCACAGTTGATTCAACAGATTTACCGGTGTACACTGTCTCCTTGTTTTCCAATTCAGGATTCGATTTCACCGTACGTGCAGAAATTCATCATATAGCCGAATCGAATCCTTCAGTTCTCTTGTAACATCTCAATCCATCAAGTTCAATATAAGACAAGATTTGACAGGAAACGGTTTTTGACTACTGGAAATCCGAACCAGGAATCAGAACAAGGGATGAACGAGAGCAAGTAGTTCTCTCATTGTGTGTTTTTATTCGTTCAGTTTGAACTAACTTAAGTTGAGGATACTGATCCGCTCGAGGTTTTGAGACGTTTGGCACAAAGGTAGTACACGCGCTGTCTATCTGAAGAGTTCGGAGTTTCATTCTTGGACGGGACAGTGGGTATGTACTATAAATGAGTTCACACGCGAGCGAAACTCAATCCCGTGAAGCTTCCTGAGTTTGTGGTTGATTGAATCAACTACTGAGGATTGGGCGGGAAGATAAAATCTGAAGAATGGTGTCAGCTGAAATCAACGGATTATCTTTGTCCAACCTATTTCTAATAGACCGAATGAGATAAGTCTGTGTTCCTCGTATCCGCTTTAAGACTATGAGAATTTTATAGTTAGATCTCTTGTTCCGTTTTCCCGAAGTCAGTTTCCTGTTGGAACATATGCCGAAGTTAGTTCGTTAGTCATATGGAACCGATAGTCTGTCCCAATCCAAAAAGCTTCCCGACAAAAGAGTGGCAACTAAATAACAGAAAAAAGCCTAATGAGTAATTGGCGTTCGTGGCCCGGTGCCAGCCGCACCAAATTATCACCCCGGAGGACGTGTGTTCGAACCCTACCACCACCACCGCCTGACTTCCCCCATTGTATTGCAGTATTGTGCACCATTTAATATGTAATGTATGTT